TACCTAGAAACACTATATATTAGAGAGAAACTTCTTCCACTCAGTTATTAGTAAATTTATCTTCTTTTACCTAAAACCACTATATATGGGAGATAAAATTCTCCCGATCAATCGTTAGTCGACTTACCTTGTAACTAAAAGTACTACATAATTTCAAATGAAAAGTGAGCATATACACTTTTTTGTATTATATAAGGGCTAGTTTTTTATTATTGTTATAATCACTAAATGTTAGCAAACTTATCTTATAATACCGAAAAACACTAGATACATATGAGAGAGAAAATTCTGTTTTGTGGCTTTAGTGTTTAGTTTGGGAGGAAGCAACCAGGCTAATTTGGCCCATAATAACTTTGAATCTCTCTCATGGTCAGCGATTAGTCTTGCTCATTATTGGACAGTCTATTCTACGTCTAATCAGATAGTGAGGTTGTCTATTGGCTATAAGGAGTCTAGAGGAAATATTTGGGTAGCCAGAATATAGGATGTTCAGTTGTTTGATTTTTGAATTTAATATAAGCATTTTCTAGCAAAAAAATTATATTTTAGTTTTATACTCTGTATCAAAGTAACTATAAGGAAGAACCTCTCCAATATATAGATATTTGTAAATAAAAAAAATTGTCTATGAACTTTTATAGTGACTTTGATATAATTTTAAACATTATTATAGTAACTAAGAATTAATAAGTCATACTTTTAGTCAATATCCTTATTTTAGTCATATATTGAGAATTATTTCTTTAATTAATAAGGAATAGCCCGTATCGAGGCTGGAAAATTAACAGGTTACTTAATACACATTCAGATTTTTTAAATTTTATATATCCAATATTGTTCTCATATAAAAAATCATCAAAAGTTAGGAATTCTAATATATGTTTTGTAGAAATTACAACAAAAATTAAAAAGTTACAACGCTATGATGAAGAAATTGGGGTTCTTATATCTTGGACACCGCCAATTGTACGACTTTGTATTTGTCATTGCCAATATCTCGTATGACTCTCATTTGAGCAACTTCATCACACCACGTTACATTTTAAAACCATCGATTTAGTTTACATTGACAATACTATCATATGTTGAACATCTTTCTCATTTAGAATGTCATTTAGAGTTTGTTTGGTAACACATAAAATGGATGAATCTATTAAAATTGATGAAATTCTCGCTGAAACCGCTGAACAGGCTGAATATACTGAATTATGGGAAAATTAAATTTAAATATATTTTATTGATAAAGTAAATAAACATTTGTCTGAAAAGTAGCTAAAATATTCGTTTATAATAACTTCATTTGATTCAGGCAAAAATGTGTGATGATTCTATATGATGGAGGAAACTTTCTTGCTTAATTGTTAACCTTATTAATTATGACCTAATCTTAAATTTTATACACAAAAGCATTATATATGTGATAGAAAATTATCTCACTCAATTGTGAGACGACTTATCTATATACCTCAAAGCATTACATAAAAGAGAGAAAAGTTGGTCACTCAATTGTAAACCGACTTATCTTAATTATACTTCAAAGCACTCCATATGAGAGAGAAAATTATCTCGCTCAATTGTTAGCCGGCTTATCTTCTACCTAAAAGTATTATATATGAGAGAGAAAATTCTATTACATCTTTCACAAACGTGTAATGATTCACCCAATAACAATTTTATTTACTCGTCTTCTACATCTTTATTGCTTAATTACATAATTCCTTTTTAATTTACTTTCTACCATTAGATTGTTAGCGTTTCGAGTATTTTTTTTCATACCGAGTGTATTTCTTCAATTGCAAGAGCTTATGTTATGCAGGTTTATTACTATGAATAATGTGAGCTTTTGATTCGCAAGTTTTTTTTTTCATTTTTCTAAATTCAGTTTGATTTGATTACTAATTCTAGTTGGTAGTCTAATATAGTGCTTCTTTCATGTAAATTCGCTTAGTAAAGCAAATAACAAAAATATAAAAGGTGAAAAAGAATTAAATAGACCAACTCAAATTTTTATTTTATTACAACTAATTAGATTTTCATTTCCTAATTTTTTATATAGCAAACCAGTGCACTTCAAATTATAAAATAATTTAAGAAACAAAAATGTTTAATCAATTTTTTCATATTTGTCCCTTCTCTTAAAAAGAAAGAATATCATACTATTAAATTGAATGAAATTTAGAAGTTTTACTTATTAGTAGTTTAGCACCCGATGTGGTTATCATTTTCATTTGCTAATTTTTGAATTTCGAATGATATTATAATAAGGAAGGAATAATGTTTATAACACTTTAATTATGGGAGTATAATGTTATACGAAGTATTTTTTATTAAAGATAAGAATATATTAAAGGCCGAAGTTTCGTTAAGATAGATGACGTATATAGTAGGCCGATTTTTTATATTTTATGTCTCCATTATTGATTTTTTTGTATAATATACAAAAAACTTCTGTTTTCTTTTTTAATTTTTATATATACAATATTGGTGTCATATGAAAAATCATTAAAAATTATGAGTTTTGATATATTTTTTATAGAAATCAGAGAAAAAATGAAAAAGTGATAACGCTTTGAAGTAAATGACATTTTTTTGAACAATGGGCCCCATGAATATTGATGTATCGTAGTAATGCAAATATTTAGGCTTCCTTCGATTTGACAAATGTCATTTTTATAGCAAATAAACAAATTATGGAAAGATGGGTACATGTGATTAATGAAGGTATAATTGTCTTTTAAAGAGTTATTTGTTTTCTTATACTCCTTTCGATCCTTATTAAACTTTACACTTTAACTTCACACATATTAAGGAAATAAATTTGATTTTACTATATAGTACACTGTTTAGCACTGTTTGACACTGTTTGAGAATTATTTCTTTAATTAATAAGGAATAGCCCGTATCGAGGCTGGAAAATTAACAGATTACTTAATACACATTCAGATTTTTTAAATTTTATATATGCAATATTTTTCTCATATAAAAAATCATCAAAAGTTAGGAATTCTAATATATGTTTTGTAGAAATTACAACAAAAATTAAAAAGTTATAACGCTATGATGAAGAAATTGGGGTTCTTATATCTTGGACACCGCCAATTGTACGACTTTGTATTTGTCATTGCCAATATCTCGTATGACTCTCATTTGAGCAACTTCATCACACCACGTTACATTTTAAAACCATCGATTTATTTTACATTGACAATACTATCATATGTTGAACATCTTTCTCATTTAGAATGCCATTTAGAGTTTGTTTGGTAACACATAAAATGGATGAATCTATTGAAATTGATGAAATTCTTGCTGAAACCACTGAACAGGCTGAATATACTGAATTATGGGAAAATTAAATTTAAATATATTTTATTGATAAAGTAAATAAACATTTGTCTGAAAAGTAGCTAAAATATTCGTTTATAATAACTTCATTCGATTCAGGCAAAAATGTGTAATGATTCTATGTGATAGAGGAAACTTTCTTGCTTAATTGTTAACCTTATTAATTATGACCTAATCTTTTTATACCTAAAATTTTATACACAAAAACATTATATACGTGATAGAAAATTATCTCACTCAATTGTGAGACGACTTATCATATACCTCAAAGCATTACATAAAAGAGAGAAAAGTTGGTCACTCAATTGTAAACCGACTTATCTTAATTATACTTCAAAGCACTCCATATGAGAGAGAAAGTTATCTCGCTCAATTGTTAGTCGGCTTATCTTCTACCTAAAAGTATTATATATGAGAGAGAAAATTCTACTACATCTTTCACAAACGTGTAATGATTCACCCAATAACAATTTTATTTCCTCGTCTTCTACATCTTTATTGCTTAATTACATAATTCCTTTTTAATTTACTTTCTATCATTAGATTGTTAGCGTTTTGAGTATTTTTTTCATACCGAGTGTATTTCTTCAATTGCAAGAGCTTATGTTATGCAGGTTTATTACTATGAATAATGTGAGCTTTTGATTCGCAAGTTTTTTTTTTCATTTTTCTAAATTCAGTTTGATTTGATTACTAATTCTAGTTGGTAGTCTAATATAGTGCTTCTTTCATGTAATTTCGCTTAGTAAAGCAAATAACAAAAATATAAAAGGTGAAAAAGAATTAAATAGACCAACTCAAATTTTTATTTTATTACAACTAATTAGATTTTCATTTTCTAATTTTTTATATAGCAAACCAGTGCACTTCAAATCATAAAATAATTTAAGAAACAAAAATGTTTAATCAATTTTTTCATATTTGTCCCTTCTCTTAAGAAGAAAGAATATCATACTATTAAATTGAATGAAATTTAGAAGTTTTACTTATTAGTAGTTTAGCACCCGATGTGGTTATCATTTTCATTTGCTAATTTTTGAATTTCGAATGATATTATAATAAGGAAGGAATAATGTTTATAACACTTTAATTATGGGAGTATAATGTTATACGAAGTATTTTTTATTAAAGATAAGAGTATATTAAATGCCGAAGTTTCGTTAAGATAGATGACGTATATAGTAGGCCGATTTTTTATATTTTCTGTCTCCATTATTGATTTTTTTGTATAATATACAAAAAACTTCTGTTTTTTTTTTAATTTTTATATATACAATATTGGTGTCATATGAAAAATCATTAAAAATTATAATTTTTGATATATTTTTTATAGAAATCAGAGAAAAAATAAAAAAGTGATAACCCTTTGAAGTAAATGGCATTTTTTTGAACAATGGGCTCCATGAATATTGATGTACCATAGTAATGCAAATATTTAGCTTCCTTAGGCGGTGGTTCGGATTTAGTCCCTCGATTTGACACATGTCTGTGAATCGATGTTCACAGACAAAAAAAAGCTTTCACAGACATATATGTGTATAAAAGTGTGTATAAGAGTGTGCACAAACATTATTTTTGTAAAATAAGATGTTTTATTTTATGAATAAAAATTTAATCTCAAAATCAAATGGGAATTTAAAACGGCCACGCGAAGCAGAGTGACCGATCAAACAATTCATCATAAATACGCAGTATTTCTTTGTTCACAAAAACAAATCACAAACGTTTCTTCTTTCGTCCCAATTGGTCTCCTCTTTTTTTTTTCCGCGGCTCCCTCTGCGTTGTTTTCTAAGGCAAGCTCCTAAACCAAAATTTCCACGATTCTCTAATCTCTATCATGTTTTGTCGCTATTAGACCATTAATTTTCTCAATTCGTTAATGTTTTTTGGTTTGATCCGTGTTTAAAGTTGGAACTTGGAATATTGGCCGAAGTTATTTGGATTGATTATTGTTGTAATGTAGATAATACTCCGTATTAGTTAAGCTTAAGAAACCATATGAAAAATTGTGTAGATGTAGTTGTGATTAGATATTTACATTGTAGCGAGGGATCAGAACTCGAGATGGTTGATTTGATCGAGTAAGCAGAAGGTTTCATGATATGTTTAAGTTTTTCTTAACGAAGAATATGAGGATTTGATCTGATCGTAATCTTATTAAAGAACTTTCATTTTCATTCGGTGGTTCCTTTTAAAAATAAGGAATGATCATTCACATAGGTTGGATGTATCAGGATGCATTCCGATTTATTAAATAGGAACCCAGATTCTGTAGAGTTGGTTAGTATATGAAATGTGATATCTTAACTCAGCCTTGCATGTCTATATATGAATGAACCTGGGAAAATTTGACAATCCTCACCTTTAACCTAAATGATATAGAGTTCTTTGGGGTTGAGATAGAGTCAACCTTATCAACTGAACAATAATGAATCAATGAATAAACTCTTAGTAAGTACTGTGTACAAACAATTATTACAGTTTGGTAGTTTTTTCTGATGTTGAGTAACATGATTTAGATTCAATCTTATTCGTAACATTTACTTTTCCCATTAATAGTAAACTAATAATTAGTATCTTCTTCTTTTGTGCATCTTTCATTTTTTAAAATCTTTTATAGCATTAGAATGAATGAACAACTAATAGTAATTTTCTATCATTTTGTTGTTTTTTTATCTTTATAATTTTGTGCTGCCTTCATGTGCTACAGCTGTTTTTTGTCTGACCTTCATGATTTGGAGAAGCATCACTGCGCTTTCTGTTTCCTCGGAAGTGGGAAACAAGCACATCACTCTTTTCTTGATTCTGTGTCCCCTCATCCAGAGATCCTTTGGAACCCTTGTTGCATTTGAGAATTACCTTCTCTTCAGGGTATTGTGAGGTGTTTTACGTTTTCCAATTTTGTTCTTGGGGTAGAACCAGTGGAGCTTTTCTCCCCCTGTGGGTGACCTGACCAGAGGCGGGACATATTTTGGGCATCCTTGCATTTGTATTAAAATTTGAAACAAGTAAAAAACTTCTCATCGCAAAGGAAATGTGAGGTTTGAAGCCAAGACACTCTTCAGTTAGCACTACAAATCAAGCGAGCAAGTGCACGACCAGTTTAGCTCTACAACTTCAACAAATATCTCGGCTCATTATTTTTTATGATTCTTTTGTGAAACTAAATATAAAAAATTCATACCCACAGTGTAACGGGACCCTGTTGCCGCATTGTCTTGACCTCCCCAGGGCTGACTGACTGATTCTGGACCCAACGTTTGGTTTTTGAAGTGAAAATGGTTTTCTTGGAGTTCTCGGGTAAGACTTCTATCCAGAGCAATGTGATTCCATCATTGAAACCGCATGAGGTCATGGTGCCGACTGATGTAGGTTTGGACTTCTCTGATGTGTTTGGTCCTTTTCCTGCTCAATCACCAATCTATGAAAACTGTGTAGGGCCAGATATTATTTACACCCTTTCTCATTCTTTGATCGGTCCAACAGAGCGTACTAACAAAACACAAAGGCTTAGTAGACTCACGCTACGTGAGAATGAGGACTCTCTGGTACTTGTAGCGGGAGCCTCTGAGGAGACCAATGGGAAAAGCCAGTCTTCATTTGAGAGTGATTCTAAGGTTGAAGAAGACACTTTTTATTTTCCAAAAGCAGTGGTTGGTCTTGATGACTTTGAGGTCTTGAAAGTGGTTGGCCAAGGTGCGTTCGGAAAAGTTTATCAGGTGCAGAAGATTGACACTTCTGAAATATTTGCGATGAAGGTGATGCGGAAGGATAAGGTTTTGGAGAAAAGTAATCTTGAGTATATGATCAGTGAGAGGAATATACTTACCAAAATTGATCATCCTTTCATTGTGCACCTTAGGTACTCATTTCAGGTAAGAACTAGCGAATCTATTGGTATTACATAATTAGAACATTAATATTCTGGCAAACGTCCAATAATGACTGAGTTTTTAATGGAAGACAGTGCAACAACAAAAAAGATTACAAATTGAATTTTTTTATATGATTTTGGCTGAGTTATGTAGATTTATGATGTGTATTTCTTGTTGTTGCATTCTGCAACTGGTGTTATCATCGCCCACGTTTTTCTCCTCACCTTCAATCTCATTACTATTTAAGCATCTACATATACTTCATGTCTAAAGCCAATGGTAATAAGTTACTTTAAACTTTGAAGTTCGTGGTCATTAATAAGTTACTATAGTTAGTTAAGGGATAAACAAGGCGCACTTGAGGAGTCGATGATCAATCAGGATTTTGTTGAAAGTTCAAGGGCATATCTATGCTCTTAAGTCCCTTGATTGTTTGGCATTATGGAATCTGAGACAATTGAGATACAATTAGCCTCTTCTTGAAAACCACTGTTTAGTACTTACTGTACAAGGTATATGGGGGGGGGGGGGGTATTTTTGACAATATACAACTTATTGTATCTAATCTATAACAATTGATGGACTAAGTTGAGAAATTTGAAAAACAGTCGTAAATTTCAATTAATACATTATACCGAATAGTCAGGGCACTTGATGTATACTCTTCCTTATTTTATTAATGCTTGGCCGCTTGGGAAGTTTGTGGTTGCTACCAGGGGAGTTGGGGGAGTTGAATAGTTGATTTCACTTGCTTTAAACGCTTTTATTTCAATGCAGACCAAATATAGACTCTACCTTATTTTGGATTTTGTTAATGGGGGACATCTTTTCTTTCAACTCTGCCGTCATGGCTTATTCAGGTATAATGGTTTATATTCAGGTATTAATGTAAATCATAATTTATTACCTATACACGCTGTGGAAATTTTGTTAATAATAAAACTAGTAACACTTGGTATTCTTTCAGAGAAGATTTAGCACGTGTCTATACTGCTGAGATTGTATCTGCTGTTTCCCACCTCCATGAAAAAGGAATAATACACAGGGATCTTAAACCTGAAAATGTACTTCTGGATGTAGAGGGTCATGTTAGTATCTCTTTCTCTTTCACTTTTAGTGCAAAAAATTATGTCTTTAGTTATGTTAGTTATGGTTAAACTTGCATAACACACCCTAAAGCGTTCTCTATACCTTATATGTGGGATAATCAATAATTCAATACAACGGAAGGGGTGGACTAGAGGGTCATAATTGAGAATCAAATGGGCTGGCGTTACACAAACCACTATTAGATCCTGCTCTAATACCACATTTATCAAGAGCTATTTCATCCAAAAATTCATCAAGGGATGTGTTACCTCACACCTATTTAATAGTCAAAAGCAGGAGACAATTGATTTGGGATATTCAATAACAAAAAGATATTTTAAAATTTTAAAATTTAATATAATTACCTTCTCTAATAGAACGCCTTTTTGGTCTGGAGCACATGGTCATGTTTGTTGACTTTATAATTCACTGTCTTCATTCCTTGAGTGATTTCAATTATGCAGCTATGGCTACGATTTGAAATATCCTGACAAAAATTCTCTTCATTGACCACATTCTACTGATGAACAATAACTTGGGTATAAAGAAAAGAAATTTTAGTTCCCTTTATCTTCTTTATCTTTCTTATGTTTTTATCCTTTATATATATATATATATATATATATATATATATATATATATATACTCTTCTTATCCTTTTTATCTTATCATGTTTATGTATATCTTAACTCTACTTTATCTTATCTTTTTTAATCTCTTTTATCATACATCTTTTTATCCTTCGTTTCCTTTTGACTCCGATATTATGTATTGATTCATGTTAGCCGACCCCAATATCTTTTGGGACTAAGGCTTGGATGTTGTTGTTGTAATTAGCACTTAGTTACACTAACTCTTACTATTATGAGTTTATGACAACTCACTTCACTAGATTTTTTCCTCATCATATCATAATGCTTCAAGCATGATGCCTTTTTATTGATAGATACTATTTGAGAATTGTTAAGTGAATAATAATGCTTATATTGAGGTATCTCACGTTGTTGGTTTCTTGGAATTGGATCTACTATATACGTATATAAAGCTGGAGTAAATCTCTCATCTTTAGGTTATTTAGGAGTGAGTGAAGGTCAGCTTATGATGATATCATGCTCCCAGACCAGGCAACTCAGAATCTCCACGATGTGAAGGTTCCGATCTGTTGGTGATTTGTGGGGCACTGGGGCGCCTGTGGACTCGATGTTTTGGACAAGCCATTTGGCCATTTGATTGTGGTTTTAGATTCATTTGTCCACACCATAGTTATGTGATCCTGCTTGGTTTGCGAGGGATGTAAATGTGTGATGTAAATTTATTCCTAGAGGATCATTTTAGGTTGCGTTGCATACTACCCATTAGTATGGTAAGAAAGTATGAGTTGTTTCGGTTCCTTCTACATCACATGCCTTGTGTGTTGAGTGCAGGTTGTAATAACTGACTTTGGTGTTGCCAAGCAATTTGATGGGAACTCCCGATCCAACTCTATGTGTGGAACATTGGAATATATGGCACCTGAAATTATCCTTGGGAAGGGCCATGACAAGTCTGCAGACTGGTGGAGTGTGGGAGTTCTCTTGTATGAGATGCTCACTGGAAGGGTTTGTTGTACTCCCTCCTCTCCCTTTTTATTTGTCCTAAATAGTCTTCCTTTAAATTTTCTTAGTACAAAGTATGTGGTGCATATTCTTCCATTCATTTTCCTTATAGGGATGAGAAACATTTCCACTTTTAGGTCATTACCACTTTTTCTCCAACTCTATTTATTTTCACTTTTTGAATGCACATTCATGGATTTCTTTCCACTTTCAGTCCCCGATCACTTATCTGGCTGAACTTCAGTACAATTTACTTCTGAATTTTGTGGGATAAGTGACTCAAAAGGACAAAAAAGCAATAACTTAATTTTGGTGCACCAAAATTCAAAGTTGGGAACCAAAAGTGAGATGATTTCATCCCGTGGCGCAACATCATGGATTCACTAATAGTTTTTACTTTACTTTTGCTCCCAATGCAGCCTCCCTATTTTGGTGGGAACCGACAGAAACTTCAGCAGAAGATCATAAAGGATAAGATTAAGCTCCCTGCATACTTGTCCAATGATGCACACTCGCTGCTGAAAGGGGTAAAAAATCATTTTTCTTGTATCTCAGTTATAAAAACTTTTGCTGAGGCCAGCTAGGATCGCTCACCTTTGCTGCCTATGTTTTTTCTTGAATTTACCCTTCCTAATTCTACCTAAATCCACCAAATTTTGCATAACCCTGCCCAGATGTTAGGTACACTGCCACCTGCTTAGTTGGCAACACATATCAGTGTTCTCAAGTAGGTCAAAAAAAGTTAATACTTGATTCAGCTCCTAGACGAAATACACAATTTAGTCCCGGTGCATCTTTTACTCTAATTAAGAAGGGTATTCGTATATGTTATAGGTTCAACTAACCCCAACGTACATAGTTGAGGACTCGAGGATCAAATGAAGGCCCTAGCTTGGATCTAAATTTAGTGAACTTAATAAAACACGTTTTTACGTGAACCAAATATTTAGAAGCACTGAATTGTTTTCAAGTTCATAGGGGAGGCATGGACGGATCCAGGATTTCTGATCAAGGGGGGCGAAATTTTTTCATGAGTGTTGGAGGTGAAATTTTTTCGCTAGTGTAGCGCGGAGATTTGTTTCCCGCTAGTGTAGCAACGTGATTTTTTTGCTAGTATAGGGCTCTGCGTCAATTTTTTATTCAATTTTTTTTATTAATACATACACGACGACATTTAAACCTATTACATTCTAAGTTTAGACAGTGGAAAAATAACTTTGATTTTATAATTGAAATGCTCTAAAAAAGTATTGATACATTAAATTGTAAGAAATAGCAACCCAAAGGAAAGTTATTTGAAGATAAAGAATTTAAAAGGTATACATACACCAATACTTTTTAAATAACTTTTGCCTTGTTTAACCCCATGAATCTTTATCAGAATAAAGAATTGGTTTTTGAATTACAATTTTTGTCTGACAAAGAGGGTGTTTGTGAGTCATGAAGAGTTTTCTTATTATTATAATAGTATGTATGACATTATTATTTTTAGAATAATATTATATTGTTGATTCATATATATGGTGCATATTATATTTGCATTAATAGAAAAATAAGTTAATGCAAATATAATATGCACCATATATATGAATCAACTAAATTGGACTAATTATTATCTATGCAAGAATTGGACTAATTATTGTCTATGCAATAATTAGTTTGTAGAACCTAACAACTAAATGAATTGTGTAATTTAATGTCATCAAAAATTTATATTTTGGATTCATCTAAAAATCATTTAACTAGTGTGTCTGATAGTTAATATCATTTGATATTTTACAAAATCGAGTACTAATTATCTAATAAAGATAGCTAAACATTACAAAACTAGGAATTTTTATATAATAAATATCCCAAGTCTTCAACAATGATCAGAGTTGTTCTATTATATTGTTTATTTGCTTAAGTATGTAAATTATATTAGACGTTTCTTCTTTTAAATCTCCAATTAAGTTTTACATTATGTAAGACTATATATTAATTTTGAAAACTAAAAGTTAAGGGGGGCGAACACATATATATCTAATTAAAGTATGAAAATTTTTATTAAAATATTGCATATATAATGGAAAATTTTAAAAGTCCAAGGGGGGCGGTCGCCCCCTCCCCCCTAAATCCATCCCTGAGGGGAGGACCAAACTAAGTGCAAAATGATGAAAGGTATAGTAATTAGATCTGGTCTTATCTAAGTTAATGTTTCAGATCTTGTCTTGTACTCCGTATTTATGTATGGAATAGAAGAATCTGGTCTAAATCTTTTTTGTATGTGATTTGGTGTTAATCTTTTGGTCTGATATATTTTGATTGTTTCTGACAATATCACACATTTAATTCTAGACATCAAATATGAATTACATTTTTTTTAAATTCTCAGCTATTACAAAAGGAGACAAGCAAGCGCTTAGGCAGTGGACTGAAAGGCAGTGATGAGATAAAAGCCCACAAGTGGTTCCGCCCCATTAACTGGAAGAAACTAGAAGCTCGGGAAATTCAGCCCAGTTTCTGTCCCAAAGTTGCTGGGAAACACTGTGTAGCCAATTTCGACATCCAATGGACTGCCATGCCCCTGCTGGATTCTCCTGCTTCCACTCCTAAAGGACATGAAAATCCTTTCAGGGGTTTTACTTATATGAGACCCGGACATCCACACAACCCTTCCAATCATCTTGAAATGAATTCAGGTAACATTTGATAAACCGTAATGAAATGTAATCAAACACTTCATCCCTTTCAAAAAGAAAAAGTGAAGTTCCAATCTTGTTTTCCTGTCCAGTTATGCTTTAAAAGTCGATTTTAATTTTTTAAAGTAATTTGTTTGTAAAGTCACTCCAAGTAATTTTGGAAATAAGTTTTAGAGGTATATAATTGATCATTTATGACTCGTAAAAGTAAAGCATCTACTGTGGTCAGGTTGAATAAAAACAATAAGTTGTACCTCACTTAATCAAGACTGTATTTTAGAATACAGTATATTTTTAGTGTATATTTACATTAGACACTCATTTGGTTACGTTACGATTTACCAAATGTTTTCTAAACACATACTGCCCGCTTTTGCCGTTAAGCGCAGTCATTTACTCTTCGGTTGGCATTGTAATTTTGTCTTTTTTTCTATGCTGTTGCACCAAACTACACATCTAAGTGATGGATTTGGGGTTCAGCAGAGTTACTTCACTAACCGTCCAGATATAATCTGTACCAAAATATTATAATTTAGATTAATATGGACAGTTGATTAAGTAACCTCACGTGAAGTAAATTGTATATGGTTGCTTAGTTTCTGCTGTTCACATTGTAGAAGTGGATTGTATGTATTTTGGTGAAAACGGAGTTGGCAAAACTGGTAGTCTGATAGTGCATATGACAATTTGAGCAAATAATTCCTTTTTAAATCATTGTATAACTTACTTTTACATAGGGTCAATAGGGATGTATGAATGTGTCCGATCTGTTTCCGGTCTGATATTGGCGCTACCTGTAACTGGGGCTCAAAAAACTGGGCCTGGTTTTGGTAAAGAACAGGGGATGGTTTTCGTTATGTCAGTTTTAATTGGGGATGCTAAAGAATTAGTTCCTCCTGGGGATGGACCCGGGCCGGTCCGGTTCCGGGCTGGGCCCGGGCGGGCTTTTTTGCAAATCCTTGGGCCCGGGTTGATACCGGGTCCGGGCCTAACCGGGCCGGGCCCGGTTCAATGTCTAATTTTTTTTTTTGCTTTCTTGTTATCCCCTGACCCCCACCCCCCAAACCTCCCCAAAATACCCAGCCCTACGCTAGGAAAAGAAAAAAAATTGAAAAAAAAAATTGACCCGGGCCCGGCCCTAACCGCCTGGCCCGGTTCGCCCAAAATTGGACCCGAGCCCAGCCCACCTGACCCCGCCCAAACTGGCTAAAAGTCTGGAACCGGCCAACCGGTCCCGGTTTGGTCCGGGCCCGCACAGTAGCGGGCCGGCCCGGTTCAACCGTTTTATTTGTTTTTTTCTTTATAAAACAAGCTAAAAACGTGTCTCGAACTAGAATTGGAATCGATTGAGAATCGGAATCAGACTTGTGTCCATTCTTCCTGATACAAATTAAATATGCATCGGATTGGTGGACAAGAACCTGATTATACAAATAAGAAAGTTCCACCTTTCCATAACCGAACCCAAATCGCCTATATTAATGTGCACTCAGATTTAGTTTATAAACCATATTATTGAGTCCGAAAATTCAGCTAAACTCTCTACATGTTTTAATTAGAACTTGAATCGAACTGGAAAAGATCCATGTGAAGCATGAAGACTTTGTCTAATTTGAATGAGGTAATTCACTATGCACAAGTCAAATGTGCAGTGTCTTTGACCACATGACAAGTGAGTAATTAACAATTTACCACGTAGGCTTTAAGCAATAAATTTTAGGGAAAAGTATATTTTCAGATAGGATCATGCGTTTCATTTTTTTTATCAAAGTTGTTCACGTGTTTGAGTTCCGTTATCACAAGAGGATTACACCGTTAAAAACATTTGAGGAAGATGATTAATAGTAACTCCGATTTTCTAAAGTGCCTGAAAAATTAAAAGAAAAATACCGGAAGGTTTGCCTCAACAAGATGATCATTAGGCCATCTATTTTTTTGGAAATAACAATAAATATTTTAAGATATTTACGGATAAGAAAAAATTCCACTTTTGATCCCGTGACTATTATACCATTTCCCCATTTAGTCCATTACTTTCAGATTGTCCACATTTAGTCTGTGACCATTATCCCCTCATCACCTCTCGTCCTTTCGGTCAAAATTTTGGTAAATTTAATGTAGATTTTAGAAAATTTATCGGCTGAAAAACAAACAGGACCATTATGTAAGGCTATATATTAATTTTGAAAACTAAAAGTTAAGGGGACGAATACATATATATCTAATTAAAGTATGAAATTTTTTATGAAAATACTTCATATATAATGGAAAATTTTAAAAGTTCAAGTGGGGCTGTCGCCCCCCACGCCCCCCCCTAAATCCATCTCTGGCCCTAAGGGCCCCAGTAGGGGCAAGGACCATAGACTTGAATAGAATTAAATTTAAATCCAATAATTACTTCTTTCTTTAATGATGATCGTATGCTTGTACTCGTTAGAATGTCAATGTCAAACTATTCAAAAATAAGAAAAAGGGTCTTATCGATACCCAAGGTTAACCTCAACCCAGCCCGTCAATAAATTTAATCTTCCATCACATTATACGTATTCACCCAATCAATTCAGTTTTTTCCTGCGACCCAACATCGTTAATATATTCACTTAGCACATACTTTTTTATAATTAAATGCATAAATCCTTACATTTTTTTACATCATTTATGTGACAATTTTATTTTTACCAATAATTATAATTTAAAAAGTCAAACATTTCGATGTAAAAATAAATAAATTTAGAGTTTAATATTTTTTGTTATTTCAGGCCTATATTTTAAAAACATAACCAAAAGATGTAAAAAAAATTATGCATGAGATATTGTTTTTTAAATTTAGATCTACTTAAAGAATAATTTTGAGTCTAAAGATCTTCATAGATAAAACATCAAATTATTTTGACTTTATATATATATGATATTGGTGTCATATGAAAGATAGTAAAAAGTTATAAATTTTGATATATTATTTATAAAAATTGAATCATCAATAAAAAAGTTATACCATTTTTAAAAAAATTGGGGTTTTTATCTTCTATGGAACCTATTTCTTTTCTTTGCTGCGCACACAACCAAGGGAACTTTTTTCTCTCTCCATGGAGTCAACCTGGGGTCTATATCCCCACCCCAAGTGTTTCCACAACCCACTATAAGATCTTGCTATACTCATTTTGGCTTGGGTTGGACCGTTGGAGCTCAATTTGAGGTGAAAATCTCAAATTTGGATTTTCACCCTCTTGCATTGCTGATAGCCCAAGGGCCTTACTGATTTCCCGAGGATCTTACATTTAAGGAAGAACTACCAAATAAGCCATCGAACATTCATAAAAAGTGCAAATAAGCCCTTTTATAGGAGGCTCTTTCTGGCCGTCACCATTTGAGGCGGTTTCCGGTGGATTGTTTTGTTGATTTTTTTTAGAATCTTATTCATTAAATCTAGTTTACTAATACAAAATTTCAGCTAACAATTCAATCGGGAAGGCAGTCAAATAATTTTTTGAAGATAACTGTGCAGTTAGGCAGCACATTATATTTCAGAAAATCATTTGACTGTCTTATCGATTGAATTTTTAGCTGAAATTTGGTATGAGTAAACTAGACTTAATGAAGAAGATGCTCAAAAAATTTTATCAAAAAATTCCACCGGAAACCACCCTAAATGACGACAACCGGACAAAGTCTCATCTAAAAGAGCTTATTTGCACTTTTTATGAAAATTCGAGGACTTATTTGATAGTTCTCCCTACATTTAATCTTGTGATTTCATAAGTACAAAGTCTCTTTAGAATAAATTATAGAAAAAGTTTGCGAACTGCAGACGTCTAGTAAGCTTTTCTATGACCCCTAACTCTTTGATACCTATCGCAGCTTTTATTAATTGCTCACTTCATTCCACTAAAGTTGTCTCATTATTCATTTTCGATCTTTTTCACTAAAATTGTCGCATACCAAATTTAGTACAATGTGTGGAGTTCTAAATCACTTTTACTTTATTTTTACTCTAACAATTCAATTTCAACCACATAAATCCATTTTTAATAATCACACCACCTCCTCATATCCCAATCTTAATCGGACGAAGATACTATAATTGTTGAATGGATATGTGATATTGTCAATGCATTTTTCTTGTACGGTAATGTGTTTTTACTTCTTCTATTAAAAAATATTGTATGAAATTGTGAATGTGTTTTAACTGTTTCTATAGTTTAACTAACTTGTTATGTGACACTATTTTTTAATTGTTGCATTGGGTTGTGTTGAAATTAATGTTATTTAAATTTGTTATTTGTCGTTTTCTTAAAATATAGAAACTTTATTAAATTTATACATTGTTGAATTTTGATAGGTGAAATAGAAAAAAAGAGAAGAAGAAATGATTTTTATTATACATCTGTTGTGAAATGAAGAAGATAGAGTATAGATATGAGATAAATATATAGATAAAAATCTCTGAATTACTTATTCTTAATATCTGAAATTTCTGAGTTTCATTACAAAGGTTTGATCAAGCCATATTTATACTAGCTGGGCTAGATGATGAATCATCAAAGACTACTTCTACATATTTTGCTGGCACCATTAAACCTAGTCATTTCCTGGGTTTTACAACACCCCCCCTTGAATGTTCATCCTTCAGAATAGTTATTTGTATTTAAAAATTTATTGTGAAGATTGGTGTGAAAATTAAGGGGTAAAATTATGACTTATAATGTCATTGTATTTGGACGTATTGTCTCGTTAAAAACCTTATAAGGAAAAATCGAGTGGGATAAAAATCTGATGAAGGAAAAAAGAGTGCAGTTAGGGATGGACTCGGGCCGGTCCGGTTCCGGTTCCGGGCCGGGCCCGGGTGGGCTTTTTTTGCAAATCCTTGGGCCCGAAACCGGCCCGGGTTGATACCGGGTCCGGGCCGGGCCGGGCCCGGTTCAATGTTTTTTGTTGCTTTCTTGTTATCCCCGACCCCCCCCCCCCCCACCCCCACCCCCAAACCTCCCCAAAACACCCAACCCTACCCTAGGAAAAGAAAAAAAAATTGAAAAAACAAAAAAAAATGACCCGAGCCCGGCTCGAACCGCCCGGGCAGGTTCGCCCAAAACTGGGCCCGAGCCCGGCCTGCCCGACCCACCCAAACGGGCTAAAAGCCCGGAACCGGCCAACCAGTCCTGGTCCGGTCCGGGCTCGCACAGTAGCAGGCCGGCCCGGCCCGGCCCGGTTTAGTCCATCCCTAAGTGCAGTGCATTCAAATACTCCCCCTGAATTTAGCATAAATTATGAAGGCGGCGCATGCCGATTTTCTGTACAAGTTCTATGAACTTCTTCGGGGGCAATGACTTGGTGAAGAGATCAGCCAGATTTTCACTGGATCTGATTTGTTGAATGTTGATCGTCTCTTCTTTCTCCAGATCATGAGTAGAGAAGAACTTTGGTGATATGTGTTTCATTATGTCTCCTTTGATGTAGCCTTCTTTAATCTGAGCTATGCACGCAGTGTTGTCTTCGTAGATCATAGTCGGGTGATAAGTAATAGGCTTCATACCGCATTCATTTTGGATGTGTTGAATCATAGACCGCAGTCACACACATTCTCTTCCGGTTTCATATAATGCAATTAACTTCGAATGATTTGATGATGTAGTTGTCAATGTCTGCTTCATAGATCTCCATGAGATTGCGGTGTTACCATAAGTAAATACGTACCCAGTTTGTGATTTCGCCTTTTGAGGATCTGATAAGTATCCAACGTCTGCATATCCGATTAAAGCAACTTTTGCATCTTTGTGGTAGAATAAGCCGATTTCAACTGTACCACGTAGATAATGGAATATGTGTTTGATCCCGTTCCAATAACGTCTTGTTGGGCATGAACTGTACCTAGCTAATAAATTTACAGAAAATGCAATATCTGGTCTAGTATTATTAGCTAAATATATTAAAGCTCCAATAGCACTCATATATGGTACTTCGGGACTGAGTATTTCTTCGTCGTCTTCCCGGGGACGAAATGGATCATCGTGTATGTTGAGAGATCTAATCACCATTGGTGAAGTCAACAGATGAGCTTTGTCCATATAGAATCTCTTCAAAACTTTCTGGTGTAATTGGATTGATGGATGAAAATTCCATTCTTCAAATGCTCAATTTGAAGTCCGCGACAAAATTTGGTTCTCTCGAGATCTTTCATTTCAAATTCTTTCATAAGATATTTTGCAGTATTTCAATTTCATCGGGAGTTCCCATAATGTTTAAGTCATCAACATATACTGCAATTATGATGAATCCCGAATTTGATCGCCGAATGAAAACACATGGACTAATCAGATCATTCTTATATCCTTCTTTGAGAAGGTATTCACTGAGACGATTATACCACATTCGTCCAGATTATTTTAGTCCATACAATGACTTCTGTAATTTAATGGAAAACATATCTCGAGGTTTCGAGCTATAAGCTTCAGGCATTTTAAATCCTCCGGGAACTTTCATATAAATGTTTGTATCGAGTGAACCGTATAAATATGCAGTCACTACATCCATTAGGCGCATTTGCAGCCTTTCAAAAACAGACATGCCAATAAGAAACCTTAATGTAGTTGCATCAACTACTCGAGAATAGGTTTCTTCATAATCAATTCCCGGCATTTGTGAAAAATCTTGGGCAACAAGTCGAACTTTATATCTAACAATTTCATTTTTCTCACTGCGTTTACGCACAAATACCCATTTAAAGCCCACTAGTTTTATGCCTTTTGGTGTAAGGACTATCGGTCCAAAAACATCACATTTTTCAAGTGATTTTAATTCAGCCTGAATAGCTTCATTCCATTTTGGCCAATCGTGTTGTTTCCGACATTCTTCAATTGATGTTGGCTCATTGTCATTGTTTTCATTCATTACATTTGTGGAAATGGCATAGACAAATATCTCATTAATATCAACATCTTTACGATTCCATTGCATTCCAGTAGAAACGTAGTTTATTGAAATTTCATAATTATCAACGTTTCTATTATTATCTGGAGTATCTTCCTTATTTAAGGTAGTTGGGTCGTCATTTTAGATGTCTATTTTGTCAATATCATTTTCTATGCCAATATTTTCAAATTGTTCATTTTCTTGTTCAGAAGGATGAACATTTTTGGCATCACAGATCAATTCATGCCTTTTAGTTTTTCTTGGTTTTATGTCTTTTGATCCAAGTGGCCTGCCACGCCTTTTGCGTATAGAAGATTCATTTGCAAGAGATTTTTCAAAATTCTCTGTTGCGATTTCGATTCTGGCAAGGGCATTCGTGGCAGGAATATGTGACTTTGTCACTTTCTTTGTATCTGTGAATGCATCAGGCAACTGATTTGCAACATTTTGTAAATGGATTATCTTTTGCACCTCTTGCTCACATATATTTGATCTTGAATCAAGATGTGAGAATCCTGTTGCATTCCATGTAATTTCTTTCGTACTTGGGTCTAATTTATTATTTCTCCCCCCTAAGGTTGGCAATACTATCTCATTGAAATGACAGTCTGCAAACCGTGCTGTGAATAAGTCACCAGTCATCGGTTCGAGATATTTTATTATTGAGCGAGATTCAAATCCAACATAAATTCCTAACCTTCTTTGAGGACCCATTTTTGTATGATGAGGTGGAGCAATCAGAACATAAACAACACAACCAAATATCTTTATGTATGCTAAGTTTGGCTCTTGTCCAGTTACTAATTGCATTGGGGAATATTCATGATATGCAGTTGGTCTAAGCCGAATTAAATTTGCTGCATGTAAAAT